AGGGGATATAGAGACTGAAGTGGCCACCTCTGTTAGCCAGGCAGGACTTCCAGTGGAGGGAGGGGGACATCAGCCCACGCACAAACCTTCAATCCAAAATTTGTCCTGCCTACAAGATGCATAGGGATAAACATGGAGCAGGGACTGAGGGAACAGTCAACCAATGACTGCCATAACTTGAGACCCATCCCACGTGAGAGAGCCAACCCCTGACACTGTTAATGATTCTTCTGTTACGCTTGCAGATAGGAACCTAGCATAACTGTCTCCTGAGAGACTTCATCCAGGAGCAGAGGGAAACAGATGAGAGATGCACAGCCAAACATCACACAGAACTTGGAGAGTCTTGTAGAAGAGTAAGGGATAGAGAGAGCCAGAGGTGTCAAGAAGACCTACGGAGTCAACTAACCTGGGCCCAGTGGGGCTGACAGAGACTGAACCACCAACCAAAGAGCATGCAGGAGTAGGCCCTAGGCCCCATACACATTTGTAGCAGATGTGCAGTTTGGTCTTCATGTGGGTCCCTTAACAATTGGAGCAGGGACTATCTCTGACTCTCTTGCCTGCCAGTGGATACCCTTTCCCTGTCTGGTTGGGCCTCAACAAGAGAGGGTGTGCCCAGTCTTGCTGTGACTAGATGTCCCAGTGGTACTTAAGGGGCGAGGGGGCTTCCCCTTCTCTGAGGAGAGGGGAGGGAATAACGGGGTGGGGGGATTTTTATAGGCAGGACTAGGAGGAGAGGAAGGAGGGGGGCTGTGATCCGGTAAAGTGAATAAAAAAATAAATAATTGGAAATAAATATGGCTTCGAGGTGTGATACAAATGAAAGCTGCAGTTCCTGGAAACCTGTGCAGTGAAACCACAACTCAGAGGCTGCGTTTGCGCAGTGAAGCTCAGTGATCAGAAGGAAATTCAGAATTTTTGAATATTTTTAGTAATGAGAAAAAAATGGAAGTGACTAAGTAGTTTAAAAAGATAGGAAAACAATTTTAATTTAACTAAGGAAGAAAAACTTTGTAAGATGAAAGAAAAATTACAGAAATCAAAGCTAGAAGAACTAGAATAAATAAACGAATATTAGCTCTTTTGCTGGGGAAAAAATCAGGGGTTGTGGAAAGATGGCTCAGTGATAAGAGCACTGGAAGCTCTTGCAGAAGTCTCAGGTTTGAATCCCAGTACCCACATGGAGGCTCATAAGTATCTGTCACTCCAGTCCCAGGGGACCCGACACCATCTTCTGAGCTCCACAGTCATCACGCATACAAGTGGAGCACAAACATACATGCAGGCAAAATATAATTTTAAAAAATCAGCTGACTGAACTACTAGCCACCAATAAATAGGAAAAAAGGAAAAAGCACAAATATACAAAAGTATAGGAAACCACATAAAAAGAAAAAGTCTGAAATAGTAAAAACTGTTTTATAAAATTCTATGCATTAAATAAAACATGGGTAAAATAAAAGTTTTATAGTACATAAGTGTGACTTATGAAAGTAATCAGAAATAGCCTGGGGGCTGTTTATATCAATTCATTAAACTTAAAAAATGATTGATTGATTGATTTTTATTTTATGTGAATTGGTGTTCTGTCTTCATGTATGTCTGTGTGAGGGTGCCGGATCTCCTGGAACTAGACAGTTATATTATTGCTGCCATGTGGGTGTCAGGCATTAAGCCTGAGTCCTCTGGAAGAGAGAGGAAGCAGTGCTCTTAGCTCTTCAGCCACCTCTCCAGCTCACAGATTTTATATAGTAAACAGAGGAAATCTTAGAAGAACCGCCTACCAAACAAAAGGAAACAAAACGAACCAGGTTACAAAGTTTTTCAGGTGACTCTACTACACCTAATAAGAGCTGATGATTTCAATACTACTTTAAAATTGTTACACACTTTAGAAAATGGAAGACATTCAAAAACTTTAAAGGAAATATAATGTTAATATCAAAAATTGAAAAAGGCTTTTATAGAAAGAGAAGCCACATGAATCTCATTTGGACATTTCAATTTAATAAGTAAAGCCTTAGTAAACAGAATCTAGTTAGAGTAAAAGAAGCTAGGGATGTTTTAATGTTCCTAAAAAAGAACTGAAGTCATCAGTTGCTCTACAAATACTAAAAAGGCATACAGCAAAATTTAACATATATTCTGTGTGTGTATGTGTGGGTGTGTGTGTGATGGCGTGTGCATGCATGTGGCTACAGAGGCTCTGGATTCCTTGGAGATGAAGGCCCAGTGGTTGTGAGGCGCCTGACGAGACTGCTGGAAATGGAACAATAGTCCACTGAAGAGCAAAGACATGATCTTATAAAGGAGCCACCTCTCCAGCCGGTCACATACACTTTTGATTAAGGTATTTATGAAAATAAGACAACAATGCTCCTTAACAGTAATAGAAGAAATGCTCCTAGCAATAATAAACATGCATGTGTGTATGACATTCATTAGATAAAGGCTGGAAGCGTTTATCCTGAAACGGATAAGAAGAAGGTACTGACTGCTCCCTGCTACTGCTGCATCTAAGTCAGTCGATATAATCCGACAAGAAGAGATAAAGGCAAATCCGTTACTGTGTAGACCACCTGACTGTAATAGAAAAGTCAAGAAAATCACTTGAAAAAAATTACTCAACTATGAAATTCAATTAATAAGGCAGAAAGATTAATTAGTTACATACAGAAGTTAAAAGCCTTAAGAACCAAATGTAAGAATCAGTTATATTAAATATTAAACAAGCACCTTTAAATGTTAAACCATTAATACCAACAAAATGCAGGAAATGCCCAGGAACACCTAGAGAGAGCACACTGTACATGAGGAAAGCTTTAAAACGTTTCTGAAGCAATAAAATACAAGTACATAGTGTGTTTTTGGATTGAAGGCTAGATTCAACACCTTTTTTTTTTTTTGGAGACAGGGTTTCTCTGTGTAGCCCTGGCTGTCCTGGAACTCACTCTGTAGACCAGGCTGGCCTTGAACTCAGAAATCCGCCTGCCTCTGCCTCCCAAGTGCTGGGATTAAAGGTGTGCGCCACCACCGCCCGGCAAAAAATGAGATCTTAGTAAAGATAACTTGTCTTCTTATATACTGGATGTAGACACAGTATTTCTAAAGACTATATCATAAAGCAAGTAAGAATGGTCTTGAAAGCATGAGAGTAGAGTTATCACATAAGTCATAATGTATGCCAACAAACAAACTTCCATGTATAAAACCATAAATCAACAAAACAAAATAACCACCTCCAATTCCAAAGATCAAAAGGCAAATAACAGTTTAATTATAAGCCTTGATCAATAAAGCTTCTTTCTGCATTTGGCAGCAGCTAATGCAAGACGCATAACTGGTCCAAGTGCTGAGACTAAGTGACAGACTAAGTGAGTGCTCAGCACTGAAAGGGGCCTCCATATCAACTCAGAATGTCACAAAAGAGGTAGAGGGAATCGCAGGATCTGTCAGAGGGGAGAGACGACTGTGAAATGCAGACTTCTGGACACAGATGGCTAGGTACTTAGAGAACCTGTGGCTACTTATACAAGACCAAGTTTGTCAAAAAGCTTAGGAAGGCCTAGGCCTAGTTGAGGAATTCTGGCAGCTGGAGGCTGCTGGAGGAGGAAGAGTAGTTTTCACTGGGGGCCATGCGTGGCTCCAGTGGATGGTCCCTTACCCTTGCACAGAGTGGCAGCACTAACCGAAAACAGTAAGTTATTAAGAGAGAGAGAGAGAGAGAGAGGGAGAGAGAGAGAGAGAGGAACCTGGATGAGGGATGGAGTGTCAGGGGACTGGAGGTAGGAAGTAGGGAGCAGATAGAATCAAAATACATTTTATACACTCAGGAAATTCTCAAAATAAAGGAAGACCTCCACTCGAAAGACGGGCATCAAGTGGAGGGATGGGGTTGCCATCTCACAGTAAAAAAAACTCTGACCCAGAATTGTTCCTTACAGATAGGTGTGCTTACAGACAGGAGCCTGGCTTTGCTGTCCTCTGAGAGGCCCAACAAGCAGCTGACTGAGACAGACCTATATATTTACACCCAACCACTGGACTGAAGTCAGGGACCCCCGTGGTTGACTAGAAGAAGCTGAGGAGGAGGGCTACCCCACAGGAAGACCAGCAGTCTCAACTAACCCAGACCCCTGAGATCTCTCAATGAGCCACCAACCAGAAAGAATATACAAGCCAGTCCGAGCAAGCCCTGCCTTGCCCTCTTCCCCCAAACCCTCCATTTAACAGAGGACAGCCTGGTCTGGGCTCAGTGGGAGAAGATGTCACTAATTTGAGGCCCCAGAGAGCGGGGAGGCCTGTCGAAGGGGGGGGTGGGAGTGGGAGACACAGACATCCTCTTAGATGTGGAGGAGGAATGAGATGAGGAACTGTGAGGAGGGAGGGTGGGGAGGGTAACGACTGGACTGTAAAATTAAAAGTAATAAAAAATTACGATTTTCAGTGGTATAAGTAGAATGTGACAAATATTTGCAGAGAGGAAAAAAGCAATGGTAGAAAATTTCTGACAAAATGAATAATGACTACGTACATATGGCAGTTTATCATATTATCTTTCTACTTACACATAAGCTTGAAAATATGTGTAGGAAAGCACCGAAAAATAAGAATGCAATTAGTAACATATTAGTACAACAGGAATGCCTGGCTACGGTCACTAAGACCAACACTTTTCCTTAAGGATATGAATTTTATAATGAAAGGCTGACTTAAGAGTAAAGATAACAAAAGTTAATTATTTGTGAGATAAAATTCTCAAATGATCACATCAGGGCTTTCACACATTTTCATGTGCCTGCTTCAGGTTTAATAGAATTCTCATACAGGTTCTGTATAAAGGATTTACAAATGAAATATGACAAAAATTAGGCTGTCATATATACCCCAGCATTACTTTGAGACACCAGTACATATTAACTGTGTAAATAAAACTGAATATGCATGCCATATAGAAATCGACTACTCAGTTCAGAATATGGTTTTAGTTCCCTTACCATCAATATTGAGCATCATTTTCCACATGGCAGGGCGCACAGACTGATGGAATCCAAACCACACTTCCCTGCCCCCTCCCAGAGGGTGGTCATATCCTTCTGGAGCTGAGAAAAAGGAACGCCCCACAGGCGTATATCTACAAAATTAAAATGGCATGTTCAATCCTTTCCTTCTAAGACTAATATATAAATCTGCAGGACAGGGGACACTAAAGCAAAGACAGTTAATTTATTGTAATGATACTTATAATTATAAATACACATGAAAGCAAAAAGCCATTCTAAGTGAAAAATTCATCAGTAGCCTTCTCTGAAATTGTCTATTTTCATAATCTGTTTACAAAAGCAATATATTTTACTATTTTTTTTTAAGACAAAGTCTAACTGTGTAGCTCTCGGCAGCCTAGAACTCACAATGTAAACTAGGCTGACCTCTAACTCAGAGATCTGCCTGCTTCTGCTTACCAAGTGCTGAGATTAAAGGCGTGTGCTATCTCACTTGCCCCTTAAAATACTTTGCTAAAAATAAATTGAGAACACTGCAACTTTAAAATGTTAAAGAGTATATCTTTGTTAAAATGTTAACGGCATATCGTTGAACAAATAAGTTCAAAGATATATATTTGACATATTTAAATCCAGAAATATGAAATGCTAATGTGATTTTAAAAATAGCACCTCTCTCTCCTTTTTTCCCATACAGGAGTCTGAATGCAGTACCTCAAGAATGCTGGGCCAATGCTCGACCCCTGTCCCCCATCACCAGTCCAAGAATAGCAATTTCAACATAATCTGACACTATTGTATAAAATATTATAAGATCATTTTAAAACGGGTGACTTAAGTTCATAGTATATCTGAAAATGTCAGTTATTCAAGACTTATAGGTCCTAAGAAAAAAGGTTAGAAATTTCTCTGTAAAATAATTCATTACATTAGCTAAACTAATGATGGATACGTTACATGATATTATTGTACAAATGAAATAATGAAAAACATACAGCATACAAAGGTTAAACAAGGAAGGCCTATACTACTCTCTTAGGAAGAAGCCCTTCATATTAAAGATCTAAAGAGGAAAAAGAGCCAGTACCACCTACTTCATAGAGGGCAGGTGTCGGAGCACCACGTCAACGGCATGAACTGGGTTAGTGCTGATTGGTTTGTCTAATTCCAGTGGCTCAGGCAAAGTCCGTCCAGTGAGTACTTCATGTAGTAGATGCCAACTGACTCGAGACACAAATTTGACTGACACCTTGAAAGGTCGATCTTTTCCACCTTCCCCAGGTAATGTAACATCTAAATCTACCTGTTAATGGGATGAGACCCAAGTGTAAAATGTTGAAAGAGAAAAATGTAATTATTTAAAATTTAACTTATAAAAAAACCCAGGATTTAAAAAATCTTTTAAAAAATATTATTTATTTATTTTTATTTATACGACTACACTGTCGCTGTCTTTAGACACACACCAGAAGAGGACATCAGATCCCATTACAGATGGTTGTGAGCCACCATGTGGTTGTTGGGAATTGAGCTCAGAACCTCTGGAAGAGTAGTCAGTGCTCTTAACCTCTGAGCCACCTCTCCAGCCCCAGATTTAAAAAATCTTAATGTGAAATTAATAGAATAAAATTGCCAAGGCTGGTTGATATCCATGGGAAGCATCCCCTTTTCTGAGGAGAAAGAGAAGGGGTGAATGGGAAGGGAGCTGAGAGGGAGGGAATGAGAAGAGGAGGGAGAGGAAGCTGTGATCGGGATGTAAAGTAAATAAATAATATAAAAATTATAAAAAAAATTTTTTTTGGGTTTTTTGAGACAGGGTTTCTCTGTGTAGCCCTGGCTGTCCTGGAACTCACTCAGTAGACCAGGCTGGCCTTGAACTCAGAAATCTGCCTGCCTCTGCCTCCCAAGTGCTGGGATTAAAGGTGTGCGCCACCACCACCCAGCAAATTATAAAAAATTTAAATACATAGTTTATTCATGGCAGTTATATTCATCATTCTAAATCACTGGAAACTGCTTAAATATACTAACATTTTGGCAGCTATAAAAAAAGAATGAGGATCTTTTTGAAATTGTTATCTGATCATTTCTCAGTCATATTATTAAATGAACAATCCAAATATGAAAGACTATGAAGGACAACAGCTTTTGCATGATAAGGGAAAGTGAGAAAATACTCATGAATCTGCTTCCTTTTGCAAAAAAGAAACACAAGGCCGGGCAGTGGTGGTACACACCTTTAATCCCAGCACTTGGGAGGCAGAGGCAGGCAGATTTCTGAGTTCGAGGCCAGCCTGGTCTACAGAGTGAGTTCCAGGACAGCCAGGGCTATACAGAGAAACCCTGTCTCGAAAAACCAAAAAAAAAGAAACACAAAAAGGAAGCATGGACCAGAAACACAGAACCTGGTTAAATTTCACCTACAGGGAATGGATAGGAAGAGATAAAAGGAAAGGCACTGTTAGTGTATTTTGGGGGTGGAGTCTTGACATTGAGAAACATTCTAAAATTCTAAATACTCAGGGTGCCATCTCACCTACTTGAGAGGTGAGGGCTGGAAAATCACTTGACTCATAAATTCAAGATCAACAAGGATGAGCCAGATATGGTGATTCATGCTGGTAATCCCAGCACTCAGAAAACAGAGGCAGCCTGGAGCTGGTGGCACACAGCTTTAATCTCAGTACTCCGAGATGCAGAGGCAGGCAGATCTCTGTGATCTGCTAGCCTGGTCTACAGTGTGAGTTCCAAATCAGCTAGGGATAAAGGAAGCAGAGGCAGGAAGATCAATGCAAGTTCAGAGCTAGATTGGTCTATACAACAAGTTCTAGGTTAACCAAAATAATAAAAACAAAAAACAAAACCCAAGAAAAAAACAACCTCCAACGTTGAAGAAAAAAAAAGCCTCTGGCATAAACAGAATCAAATGAATACAAACATATTTCAAACAAATAGAGAAAACAATAATCCTTTCGAACATAAACCACCAGTTGCTAAAAAATATAAGGATAAGATCCTTAAAAGTTATTTATTGCTGGCCAGGAAGTGGTGGCGCACGCCTTTAGTCCTAGCATTTAGGAGGCAGAGGCAGGCAGATTTCTGAGTTCGAGGCCAGCCTGGTCTACAGAGTGAGTTCCAGGACAGCCAGGGATATACAGAGAAACCCTGTCTCAAAACAAACAAAAAAAGAAAAAGAAAAAAAAAGAAAAAAAGAAAAAAAGGAAAAAAAGAGTAAGTAAATGTTTAAAACAGAATAAAATAAAGGAGATACAGCACAAGTATAGCTTTACAATAAAGAGACACATCTCACCCCAGTAGTTGCCACAGGAAGTGGATTGGCTGTATAAAGGCTTCTTTTTCCATCATACACTGGTCTACGGTCCCCAAATATAGTCACTTTAAAATGTTGAACCATTGAGTCAACTACTTCTCTAAAGAAAGGAAAAAAACACATTCACATAACCCTCTGTAAGATGACACACGAAATTATCAACTGAAATAGTTCCTGGAACTGTTTAATGACCTCAAAACAAGATCTGCTCTCGACCACAGCTTCAAATAGCAGAAAGACTGACTGCTGGCAAAGGACGGCACACTTCTCAGACCCCAAGAAACGGAATCCAACAAATCAATCATTTTGGGATTCTGTTGATCAGCAAACTACTATTAGAATTTGATTCAAAATCTCTTTCATCTTTTCTAAGCTCTCCTCAACTATTTACCTTTCTTTCTCCAAAAGATGTTCTTTGCACTGTGTTAAAATACACCTTGTTTGTATCTTTATCTGTAACAGTCAGTCTATCGTGTGATTAATTATATCCTTCATTCCTACAGTGAGTTCTTGAGAACAATGAACACATATTCCTTAGAGTTCCCACTCTTACAACACCACCTCGTCAGTGAGGTGCTGTGAAATGCCCGGCTGGGGGTGGAGCACACCTATGCTATGGAGCACCTATGCTATGGAGCATAGCAGGTAAACACCTGCTAGCATGTACAAGGCCCTATGCCCACTCCTCAGTACCACAAAGAGAAAACTCTAGTTTCGTTCAGCAAACGTTTTGATTCCAATATATGGTAACATGGAAAGGCATTAGAGACCTATATTTAAAAAACTATAGACTATAGAGAATTATACCAAATACCTACAAACCAATATATTATTTTACTCACAAATGCTTTAAGACAGTGAAAGATATCTAAAAGGATATATGCCAATTTATGTCTAGAGAAGAATTGTTTACACAATCTCAATACATCACAATGAGAGTACACCTGTACAGTACTCGTCTGATTTAAAGTAGAATAAAAAAATTAAAATCTAGCTCAGACAAGTGGGGAGGAAAGGGAGAGAAGAAAATCAGAATTTTCCAGAAAAAAAAAAAAGAAATCAAGCTGTCTTTAATTCCCAGGAAAATTTTCTACAACGCAGATTCGATTTGCTCCAAAGAACAATTTCCAAACAGTTCTACTTCCCCTAATAATCTTTTTTTCCCACTACCTCTGGTAGGTGGTGGGCTAGAAGGAATAATCTTTTTTTTCCCACTACCTCTGGTAGGTGGTGGGCCAGAAGGGAGGTTAAAGCATTTAAGAACTCATATTAAAAGTATGGTTGAGCCGGGCGGTGGTGGCGCACGCCTTTAATCTCAGCCCTTGGAGGCAGAGGCAGGCGGATTTCTGAGTTTGAGGCCAGCCTGGTCTACAGAGTGAGTTCCAGGACAGCCAGGGCTACAAGAGAAACCCTGTCTCAAACAAACAAACAAACAAACAAACAAAAAGTATGGTTGAGAAAAATTTAAGCTTATACATTTTAACTTAAAAATTTAAATTATATTATTTATTGCGTATGTATTATGTATGTATTATGTATGTATTATGTATGTATGTATGTGAGTAAGTGCATGTGCCATGGCATGCATGTGGAAGCCAGATGACAACTTGTAGGAACCAGTTCTCTCCTCCTGTCATGTGGGTCTCAGGTAATCAGGTATGGCAACAAGGGCCTTTACCCACTAAGAATCATTCAGCATTTTGTTTGTTTGTTTGTTTGTTTTAGATGGGGTCTTACTGTGTAGCTCAGGTTGTACTGGAATTTGCTATGTAGATCAAACTGTCTGGAACTCAGAGATCCACCTTCCTCTGCCTCTGTGCAAGAATTAAAGGTGTGTGCCACCATGCTAGGCCAATCAGCCTAACATTTTAACTTAAAAAGAGTATTTAAGAAAATAATTTTGGAAATAAATTTAAGTAAATGGAGCTAGTTTTATCTAACATTCAGTGGCTTCCTTTCATTATCAAGCTTATTCTGGGGAAGGGAGAATTCTTGCAGAAAATAATATTCTTTCTTGCCAGAACTTCAAGCTACAGTTTAAAATTAAAAATTTATCTGGCAATTATTCTGAAAATGGAGTGTGCCTGAGTATGTTGAGTCTTGTAGATGGCTAAAGCCCACCTTCCCGTTCTTACCTCAACTAGCACTGCCTATATCTTGGTGCCATTGTCCTGTGGTGCACAGACTATAAACTCTAACCTGATGAACAAGTGTGTAATTTCCACATTTAAAGACTTTGAAGAAATTTGTAACAGTCTACTCAAGTTCACTCCCATACACATTTAGCTGGACAGACCTGAGATCCTATTTCTTTTTTTTTTTTTTTTTTTTTTTGGTTTTTCGAGACAGGGTTTCTCTGTGTAGCCCTGGCTGTCCTGGAACTCACTCTGTAGACCAGGCTGGCCTCAAACTCAGAAATCTGCCTGCCTCTGCCTCCCAAGTTCTGGGATTAAAGGCGTGCACCACCACTGCCCAGCAAAATCCTATTTCTAACATATATGAAGTTTAGTTATTGTGACCACTCACCTCTTTAAAAATACATACACCATTTTAGAAGTATGTATTAAACCTGCTCTCTTACCAAATGGTCATTTTCTTTCTTTTTTATATATTTAAAAAACATATTTATGTGTGTAAGTGTTTTGCCTGCATATATGTCTGTGCATCCTGTGTTGCCTGGTGCCCAGACAGGTGGTACCCAGACAGGCTGGAAGAGAGGGTGGGGTTCCCCCAGGAGTGGAGCTACAGATGGTTGTGAGCTACCTAAAACAGCCAGTTCTTTTAACTGCTGAGCCATCTCTCCAGCCGCAAAATAGACATTTTTAATCAAAACAAAACAAACAAACAAAAAAGTAGATGAAGCCAACACGTACACCCAAAAGCAGAAAGTACTTGTAGAGAGCAAGTCTGCAAGAAGCTGACTCACAGAATGACTCACAGCATTTCCTGGGTATCTTGCCAAGAGAAAGCCTCTGACTACAGTACAAGCTTGTTTGGCTAGGATACCTATTCTAGTACTATTATTAATATCTTGCTGTTACATATCTGTATATGTACATGCTCAAGAGTTATTAGAAAACCCCAGTCACTTAAAAAGAAGCTAATGTTGACATTATAGAAGGTAGCAACACACAATCTTTACATTAGAAAGAAACAATTGGATGTAGCTTTACCCATTTCGAAAAGGTTAGCTAGAACTAACTGCTGCATTTTGACTCTTAACTATTTGGTACTGTTTAGAAGGAATTGGAAAAGGGCCCATGGTGTCCCATGTCTGTAACGCTAGCACTTAAGACTGAAGTAGAAGGAACATAAAACACAAAAGATGTGCTCAAAGTGCTCGGCCAGATTTCAAACAACACGTAAACAAGACTTGAACCTTTTGGTTTTGGTTTTGTTTGATGGTGTTTTCTATTTCAAGAATGAATATTCAAATATATATTGCACATACAGATAATCAATACATAATAAGAATCTATTGCTCTTTCCAGAGGACCAAAGTTCAATTCTCAGCAATCACATGGTAACTCATAACCATCTATAATGTGATCTGATGCTCTCTTCTGGCATGTAGGTACACATGCAGATAGAATACTCATACATAAAATAAAGAAATCTTTTTAAAAATAGAATCTATTTCACATATAAATATATGCATATAGAATCATATATATTATATACATATTCATATATATTATACATGTATGATATTTAATATATGTTATAATTTAACCAGATTTTTATGTCTTTTCCAAGTATTTTTACTTTAGACTTTCCTTGACTATATTCACAAGTCTTTGCTTGTTTTTACAATTCTTTTTATTTTTTTAATTCACTTTTCATCCCAATCACCACCCACCTCCCTCTTCAAGACAGGGTTTCCCTATGTAGTCCTGGCTGTCCTGGACTCACTCTGAAGCCCTGGCTAGACTTGAACTCAGAGATCTATCTGCCTCTGCCTCCCGAATGCTGGTACGCACTACCACACCCAGTGCTTAAACATTATTCATTACCACATGAATAACATGTAAGCTCAGATATAATGGGATAATGTGAAGGACATTTGAAGATTCTTCTTATCATCTACTAAAGTACAAATTTCAAAACAAATTATCATATATTCCTGGTCAAAGTGTTACGTGTTATTGTTATTCAAATATGTAAGATAGTCAAAACTAATTTACTACAGCAAATACAAATAGCAAATGTTAGCTAAACTCCATGGTTCTTACCTGTTCACTCTTCGAGGACACTTGTCTGGTTTGATGTCTACCTCATAGAGGTAGACATCGATCTTTGGGATTTCAACTTGAAAACAGTTAGCCAATAGTTTAATGGGTTTGCCCATAGTGCCATACCCAGGTCTTCTGGGCACTATGAATAGGGGCTGGGCCCCAATGGGTCCTGTCAGGGAGGAAAAAAAAGTTTCACACAGTTAAAAGCCATATTTATATAACCTTATAGTAGGTTAAAACTATAGGTACAGCTGGTCTTTAAACTTGGTCTTGAAAGGTGACATTGTTTCTAACATTTCAATTTCTTTCGATTCATCTCATTCTCTTCATTAAAAACAAACAACTATGCTCTGAAAGGAGAGACAGAACTATGCAAACTCAAGTAAGCCAGTGCATATTAGACCCAGGGAGCATGGCACTAACAGTAAAATACATCTAGACTAAAGTAAGACTCAAACCCAAAATGAAAATGAAAAAGAAAATAGAGAACACAACTTCAGACAAAAAATGGAGGCTAGAGAGACAGCTCGGTGGATGAAGTGTTCCCTGCGTAAGCACGAGGCCCTGAAGTTGGGTTTGGGGAAAACCTATGTAAAAGCTAGGGGTGCCTAGAATCCCAGCACTGAAGGCAGAGACAGGAGCCTCTCAGGTACTTGTGTGCCAGCCAGTCTCGCTGAAACCTCGAGATGCAGGTTCATTGAGATATTATCTCAAAAAATAAGGCAGAGGGGCTGGTGAGATGGCTCAGAGTTTAAGAGCACTTGTTGCTCTTGTAATGGACACAGGTCTAAAAGGCAGTGGTGGCGCACGCCTTTAACCCCAGCACTTGGGAGGCAGAGGCAGGTGGATTTCTGAGTTCGAGGCCAGCCTGGTCTACAAAGTGAGTTCCAAGACAGCCAGGGCTGCACAGAGAAACCCTGTCTCAAAGAACCAAAAAAAAAATTATCATGACAATAAATTTGACAGTGATGTAACAGGCAAATTACCAGGAAAAGACAACTTAAACTTACTGACACACAATAATATCCCAATAGTTCTCTGCTGGTAGAAATAAAAAACACCACACCATAACCACTCTGGAAAACCATACAGTAGTTTGTAAAATACCAGCAGAAAGAAGCTGGAGAGGTGGCTCAGTGGTTAAGAGCACTGGCTGCTTTTCCAGTGGACCAAGGTTTGATTCTCAGCACCCAAATGGCAGCAGATTATACTCCCTCTGTAACTCCTGTTCTAAAGGATCTGATACCCGCTTCTGGCCTCAACAGATGATAGGCACATACATGGTGCACAGAGGCAAAACGACCATACACACATAGATAGGTAGGTAGGTAGGCAGGTAAGTACGTACGTATGTACATACGTATATACATACATAAAGTGGAAAAAATAGCAAAAGTATGGGCAGGAGAGATATCTAAGCTGTTAAGAACATAGACTGCTCTTGCAAAGGACTCCAGTTCAGTTCCCAGCATGCATATTATGTTGCTCACAACTACCTATAGTCCCAGCTCCAGAGATCTGATGCCTTCTTCTGGCCTCTGTGGACACCTGTACTTATATATGCATATATTTATATACATGCTGCCACAGGACTCACACATACATATGCACTTAATTGATATGAATCTTGAAAAAAACAGAGTAGCATATGATACAATAAGTTTTTACATTTTTGTTTTGTTGAGAATCTTCTTCTATGATTAGTAGTTTGTCTGTGGCAGGGCACACATATGCTTGCAATGGTACATGTGTGGAGGTCAGAGAACAACTTTCAGGAGTCACTTCTCTTCTTTCACCATATGAGTCCTAAGGATTGAACTCAGATTCTCAGACTTGGTGACAAATGCATTTAATCTCATAGACCCTGACACAGGCACTTGCTACATCAATGTTGGGATCATATGATCCAGTAATTCTACTTTAGGGGAGGAGGGTGTATGAATGTGTGTTTGTGTATGTGTGTTTTAAGAATTTAAAGGAAAAAACTTGAACAGAGATAATTTAACAACCATGTTTATTGGAGCATTATTTACAACAGCAAAAAGATAAAAAGCAACTTAAATGTTATGGATATATGAATAGGTGTGGAAGATACATCTAACGGCAAAGTATTCAACCTTAGAAGAAATTCTTGACATATACTATAATATAGACCAACTTTAGGAGATAATGTTAAATGAAATAGCCAGTCACAAAAATACAAACACTGTTTTAGTAACCTTATATGAGACATGTATAACTTCTATAAAAAAAAAAATCAAATCCCAGCACTTGGGAGGCAGATGGATTTCTGAGTTTGAGGCCAGCCTGGTCTACAGAGTGAGTTCCAGGACAGCCAGAACTACACAGAGAAACCCTCTCTCAAAAAACCAAAAAAAAAAAAAAAAAAAAAAATTAAAGAGAGGGCCAGCAAGACACTTCAGTGGGTAAAGGTACTCGCTGCTGAAGCTGACAATTTGAGTTTGATCCCCAAGACCCACAGAATGGAAGGGCAGAATCAACTTGACAAGTTTCCTCTTACGAGTGGCATGCACACATCTCCCTAGACACAAAAGAAGAAAGAAACCATCTTCTGCTTTGCTTTAAAGGCAGGAAGAAGACAGGTGGTGGTGCATGCCTTTAAACCAGCACTCAGGAGGCAGAGGCAGACAAATCTCTAAGTTGGAGAACAGTTTAGTCTACAGAGTGAGTTCCAGGGCAGCCAGGGCTGCATAGAGAACCCCTGGCTCAAAAACAACAACAAAACAAACAAACAATCAACAAAAAACAAAAAACCAAAAACAAACAAGACAGGAAGAAATGTAGTTGTTAGGGGCTATGGCAGGAGCCAAGGGGGAGTGAGGTTCAGTTTTCCAATATGAAGAGTTCTAGTGACTATTTGCACAACAGTGTGAATGTACTTTATCACTAGTGAACTGTACATTTAAGTGTACAGAAGATAAATATAATGGTATATGTATTTTACCACAGTTGAAAAAAAAAGTCTAGCTGAGGGTGGTGACACCCTTCTGGAAAATGCTTCTTGAATATTGGCTTTAATGTGTCTTCCATTATGTATAGTTCTAATTTCATTAAAAAATTTTTTCTTTTTCTATTTTGGTTGAGTATATTTTTGTGTTTTAATAGCATAGAAATTTAGGTTCTTGTATTTATTTACTTACTTATGTGCATATCATGGAACATTTACGGAAGTCAAAAAACAGCATGTGGGAGGCAGTTCTCTCCTTCCATCATGTGGAGTCCTGGGGATTGAACTCAGGTCATCAGGCTTGGTGACAAGCACCTTTACCAACTGAGCCATCTCACTAACTTACCTGTGTATTTTTTTTTTAACAATTTCATGTATATATTGAGATGGGGTTTCTCCACATGGGTACTGGGAATCAAACCCAGGTCCCGTAAAAGAGCAGCCAGAGCTTTAATATTCATAAACTACCTGCTCTATCAATCTTAGTCCTAGGAATTTATACAATAGGCAGCACTGAACTAGTATTTAAAGATCTGTGTACTATGTACTAAGATACTTGCCAAAGTTTTATTCATAATGAAGAAAAACTGGAAAAAAATCTTAACTACCACCTATAAGACTGATTAAATAATATATTAAAAATGAAATGTATATGCCCATAAAAGTTATCATTGCTGACATGTAGGTATAAATGATGATATTGTGGGAATATTCATGATACATGATTTAATAGGAAAGGCAAACTTTTTTTCTCTTCCTCCTGCCGCTACCCTCCTCCCCCAGGGTTTCTCTGTATAGTCTTGACTGTCTTAGAACTTGTTCTGTGGCCTCAAACTCACAGAATTCCTCCTGCCTCCAAAGGTGTGTGCCACCACGGCCAGCAACATTTTTTTCTTTAAGTTCCTCTATGCTTGCTTTGAGATTACGAACATTCACCACCACGCCAGACTGATAGTTTTATGTGAAGGTTAGGATAATATTGTTATATAATGTTATTTTGCATTCCTTTATAGTTTTGCTTTTCAAAACAAGGAATATGTATTTAATTGGTCTGTAGTTCAAAAAATGTTTCTGTTTCAGAAAAGTATTAAGTTCATCTCCAAATTTAACATAATGAAATGCCTGTGATTGTATGCCTTTGAACTAATACTAGTACACATTAGCAAGGAACGTCTAGCAAGCTCCTATTCGCTATTTTCAAATTCCATTTATTTATTCATACATAGACTCATCAAGAAAGACAGTGGTTGTAGTCATATTCATGATACCTAAATGATCACTGACACAATATTAAACTTGTCAAGGGTTAACTGCCTCAGATGTCACTATAGGAAGAAATCTTTTAAAGAATTTTTCTCCCTTGAAAACAAGAGTAAATATTAATATTAATGAGATTTTGCAATCTATTCATTATTTTTAAAATTCAAATAAATATTATGCATAAATTATGTGGTTAGAAGTTTTAGAAATTAGAAAAGTAGCAAAATAGTATTAAATAAAACCAAAATAGTACATAAATTTATTAATTATGAATTTTTACCTGCAAACTTTCTTCTAAATATGAAAAAAATCAAAAAATTTTCATTTATTTATACTTATATTGCATAAATAATTTCTGATTTCCAAAGAATTTGAAAATTATAAAAAGAATAAAATAAGTATATGATGCAAAATGAATACTTCCAGATTATTTTATTAAGCTGATATTCTAGACAAATAAACTAATATATTAATACCAATATATTAAAATTTGCCCAAATTAAAGGAAATAGCATCTATTTCTTTTCATTCATTATAACTGTTTGCTAATCAATCCACAGAAATCCACATTTATAATGTAAGAGAAAGCATTAGTTGTTTGATTCTCAATAGTCTTTTTTTAAAGCATTGGCTAGCCAAAGAAAGTCATTAATATTAACATAGATAATGTCAGAAAACCACAGAAACTCCAAATACAGAAAGGCTGTTCATGCATCTTAACAGCATAATCATGGTAGAAAACCACACAATATTCTTTCTCACATCTGTTTTGTTAATGAGCCAAGAATGAGGGTCTATGAGTATTCCAGACAAGTGAATTAGAAAGCAGGCATGTCTGGTAAATGTTGTTCAACCTAGCCCTCTGAAACAAAAAGGGATAGAAACAAAATCAGTTGCGAATAAATTATCTGTTTAGTTTCACTTTCCTGAAAACAGATCTA